ATATATATATATATATATATATAACATGTTATGTTGTTATTTTCCCCAATTTCAATGTGAAAACAACCATTTTAAACATTTTGGTAATGGTTTCTGCCTTAGAGATGCCCAAAATCATAGGCTGATTTTTCACATGTTGTTCTTTAAACAGCTGTATGCTAATTAAATTACTGTAACTTCATAACGAAAGGTCGGATTTAAATGATTCTTTTACCATTTTATAGCCCTCATTTTATTGTTTAACCCTGTATTAATAACCGTATTAATTTTTTCGACGAGTGATTGGCTTGTCTTTGCCACAAATATATTTCCCAATGCTGGTTTACTGTCAATTTTACCAGTAAAAATAAAGAGCTGTCCTTGGAAAAAAAAATAAAACTGATCACTGACATAGGTCTTGGGTAGCCTAGTCAGGCCTTTTTTTAAAAGATAAACATAATTCCAGTCTAAGCCAGGCTACAACATGTTGTACATGTTGTTTTCAAGTCAATAAACCCCACCCACCAAAAAGGCTAATGCATCGCACTGTTTGCCTGGCTTGTCTTCTTATGTACAGTAGACAAAATTATACCAATGATCGAGAGAACACTGATTTATAAGTATATAATATAATACAATTACAATATCCTTAATACTATTTAACATAACTTTACCAGAAAACACTTGTTTATATTTTCTCCTATAGTCTTGAAGACCTCTTTCATTCATATGGAGTTGATGTCGTCTTCCAGGGCCATGAACATTCATATGAACGTCTATATCCCATAATCAACTATCAAGTTACAGCCAGGAACTACACCGATCCTGAGGCTCCGGTACATATTATCAGTGGTGCTGCTGGCTGTAATGAATTTAATCACGTCTGTATTAATCCCATGTTGGGCCCAATCAGTGAGTCAAGTACTTTGTTTTAATATTATTTTATCTCTATTTCATAGTGTCAAATACGTTTCATCAAATTACTACACACACATTTGGCAAGAAATTTTTTTTTTTTTATTAAAAAAAATAGAAAGCAATTAAAAGGTATTCCATGAATGGGTGTAGGCTGGGGTGCAGACGCATCCCATATGACGGCAAATTAGTTCACTAAGTTAGCTTCTTTAAAAGCGAGAAAAAAAAAATAAAGTCATAGGGCTCTGAAAGCCACAGGGCTCCCAGGACCGGAGTTACACCACTTACTAGAAGGTAGCAGATACAGTAGTTCAATGTCGCAATCAAACATTGCTTTATTAGATTTTTTTTTATAGATCGGGGGTATCTGGAGCTCGGGAGAAACTGGAGCTGGGGGCCTAGGTTCAAGGAACCTGTTGAACCTGCGGTAGTCCAGAAGTCCCCAGCTATGGCATCTGCAGTGGGAGAATAATCAGTGTAGATGGTTCGTTCTATATTGTTGTTTTTTTTGTTTTTATCATATACCTTTACTTGCTTGATTTTAGAGCCTTGGTCTGCTTTCCGTGCCTGGTTGCCAGGCCTGTACAGCTATGGTAAGCTAAAGGTGGCCAATGCCACCCATCTCCATTGGCAGCAGATCCTCTCAGTCAACAGCCAAGTAATGGATGAAGTGTGGATCACTCAGAATAATCATGGACCATTCCAGTTTCGCTAAGACTTTTAAATCAGGTACTCACTTCACCCAACAATCTGCGGCCAACGCGATTCCATGGAGAAATTAATGCCATGACCTTCATGCAACGGATTGTTTTTAATGACGATGCAACCAACAATGCAACCGACAGTGCAACCGACAATCAGTAGAGGGCGTCATCTTTTGCTAACGGGTAGTGGCGTTAGATTCGTCTTACGATGGTCGTATGATGAGTGAGTAACTGGCTTAAAATATACTCTTAAAAAAATTGGTATAGAAACATGCAGAATCTTATGCAAGGCTTGTATACTTTCTTAATAGCAAACTTTATGAAACAGTGGCAACAAAATTTTGGTTTTTTTTTTCATATTTCTTATTTTGTGAAATGAATCACTTTACGAAAACCATTGAGGTGGAAGAGAAAATAAAAATACAATTTTCAGTGTATAAAAGATGACACATGGGGTAAAATGTAATTGAGGGCGCATATAGGTCCTCGCTCGAGATCTCATGGTAGTATACACAGTGCAATATGACGTGTAAGGCCATTTCAAACCATCTTTACTATGATTGTTATTCTATGAAATTTTTGTTTGGCTACACAAAATAATTCATTATGCTTTAGTATATTTTTTACACCTTTCCAATGGGCCCTTCTGTTGGTGGATTATACCAAAGAACATGAGATTTCGGTAAATATATAAAACATTACTTACAGTACCTTAAATAATATTTTTTCCACTCTTTCAATTTTACAGCGTAGTGTAAAGCAGTTCAGAAATTTGATTAATAAATGCTTTAAGATGACATCACATCATGACCATATATAGGCACATCATGACTATATATGGGCATACAATATTTTTTTGTCAAAGAAAAATTTGATAGTGTGGACGGAGCTTTATATTAATTGTGGCAGTGAGTGAAAAAAAAATAGTAATTTTTAAATTTTTACAGCTTGCCAAAAAAATTAATGTTTTAAAATTTCGTTTTTCATTTTAAATAATTGTTAAAGTTACTCCTTACAAATTTATGGGTGCAGTTATCAAGACACGTTTCTCTGCACAGGAATGGTAGCCTCTGTCCAAAACTTTACCCAAGTAAACCCACAAAAAAAACTTTGAATTCTAGTCAACCCCTACACAAACCAACTTGTTCCTGGTAGATAGATAAAGAACTCCATTTTGTACCCAAGTATTACTCATACACAAACTAACGTATACCAAAGAACTTCGCTACCCATAGAGTATTTGAATTGTTTAATACTGTAGCTCTCTTACGCTCTAGTCAATTCATACACAATAACACAAAATTTTCAACAATATTAAAATATTTTTGACTTTATCAACATACTTCGGACCTGTCATAGAGGGCGCTGTTACACAGGCACTACTACACATCCCACTTTGTTAGAAATATTAATACAGTGAGGTTTTCCACTATTTAAAGACCACTTTGGGACCGGAATTTTGATAGTTTTTTGCATATTTGATCTTTAAAAATAATCAATTAATTACAGTATTATGAAAATATAAGATATGTAAGTGTTCTTTAATTAGAACGGCCTTTTAAGAGGGAAACGTTTATACGAGAACACAGTGTTATGTAAAATGATTGGTTGAAGATGGGTGTACATAAAGATATGTAAAATATGTATGAGCAAGGTACAATAGTTATAAAATGATCTGGGTGAAAGGTGAAGGGTGCAAGTTGTAAGGGTACTTAAAGATGGGTGTAAAATGTATCGGGTACTTAATAAAGGTAACGGGGTAGAGGTAGGAGAATAACCCATGACTCGGGAGTGTTGACCTTGTACCCAAAATGATTTGGGTGCAAGGTGAAGGGTGCAGGTTATAAGTTATAAGGGTACTTAAAGATGGGTGTGAAATGTATCGGGTACTTATAAAGGTAAAGGGGGTAGAGGTGGAAGAATAACCCATAACTCGCAGTGTCATTGTGCTGAATTGTGTATAGGCGTGCTCCGTGACTACCTAGCCGTTGTAAAGAGGCGCTTATAGTAGCTACATTTTCACATCATTCCACGACGACTGGAGCTGAAGTGAACCATAGCATTGGGGTAACCCCCTACTCTTCCGAAATATGCAGTGGTTCTTTAAAGTGCACACGAGCCATTGTACACTGAACCCCCATTTTAAGTTCTTATCTGAGAACACCTTAGTTCTACCAACTGAACCCTATACGAGGAGCGAAGTTAGTAGCGCCCCTGCCTTACCGCTCGGCCACTTGACTCGTCCTAACTTAATAATAGACAGAAGATGATCGGTTCAAACATGTTAATATGATGATGTTACAAAATGTATGGGCTAAATGATAGGTAAAAGGTTTATCCTGGTACTATAAAATAAACTTGCTAATTAGTAATCACTTTCCCTCGTACTCTACTTGCCTTATCCAAGCCCCCGGAAGTTCCAGCATTTTAGCTTTACGCCACCCACTTTGATTGCATTTTTTTTTTTTAATAGTTACTGATTTTTTCTTAAAAATAGTTGAAAGAATACACAATTAAAATAACACAATAATCAATACTTATAAAACCATTATTGAAGGGTTTGCTCGTTATTTAATTTTCTATTAAAAATTAAGAAGAAAATGTTTCTTTTTAATTAAAATTTTTAGGAATTGTTAAGAATAGTTAAAAGAATACACAATTAAAATAACACAATAATCAATAATTATCACTTATAAAACTTTCATTGAAGGGTTTGCTGGCTGTTTAATTTTTATATAAAAAAAATAAGAAGGAAGTGTTTTTTTCTTTAATTGACATTTTTAGGCCTGTTACTGAATGGACACCTAATTGCCCTGGGCTCCACTGCGTAGCACAGGCTGCACTGCCCATTTCTACGTCTCTAATGGTTATAAAAATAATTGGTACAAGCTGTATAGGTAGTGTATATGTATAAGTACACAATGTATGGTAATACAAAATGATGAATGCTGCGTAGGAAGGTACTTAAGTATGGCTATAAAAGGTACCTAAAAATTGGTATAAAATGTATCAGGTATGTAATAATAGGCAAAAGATAATGGGTACACAAACATTTTTGGGCCTGTTACTGAATGAACACCTAATTGCCCTGGGTTCCAGTGCTTAGCACAGGCTGTACTGCCCATTTCTACGTCACTATTGGTTATAAAAATAATCGGTACAAGCTGTATAGGTACTGTATATGTATGGGTACACAATGTATGGTTACAAAATGATGAATGATGCGTAGGAAGGTACTTAAGTATGGCTATAAAAGGTACCTAAAAATTGGTATAAAATGTATCAGGTATGTAATAATAGGCAAAAGATAATGGGTACACAAATTATGAGGGTACAAGATATTTATGTGTGAATAGGCCTAATGATAAGTAAAAGGTGATGGGTACAAAATGTATGGGTACATAATGATAAACAATATAAGATTACAATGAGGGTTTAAGATTCATAGGTAATTGGTACATCATTGGGTACATATGTATGCAACATGGTGCTTGGGTACATATTGATGGGTGTAAGTTGTATAGGTATAGTGGGTATGTATAAAAGTGAAGGTAAAATTTGGAAATAGCCTGTGCTTTGCAGCTTTAACTAGGCTGAAATGGGCACAGGCGTGGACTAACTCATTCAACAACTTTTTTCTCCCCAAGGGTCAAACCATGTCCGATCAGCTGCCAAAGAGGCACACTTTCGTCTGTTCACAACACCAGGTATTTGCCCTACTCTTCTCGAAGGATGTACTAGGTTTAAAGTGCGCACAAGCCAACTGTGTTCACTGGGCCTGTTTAGTGTTCATATCCGACGAAGGTAAAATATCCGACTTGTTCCACCATCAAAACTATAGGCGAGTGTGCCATTCAAACCAGCATCAACATTATGGCTGTAGTCTGCGACGCCCCTACCTTAACCGCTTTTCCATTCAACTCTCCTAAGAAAGCTAATCTTCATAGATGCATTATCTTCAAAAATGAGATCTTTAAATGTTCATTTATAAAATTATGGTTGGGTTCATTTATAAATCTGAAGTAGCTTTTAAATAACAGCTAAAGCTAACAAGCTTGAAACCTGATTCTATAATACATCCATTCAGGAGATGTTAATTTTAGGATATTTGCATTTTCATTAAGCATTGTTCTATGTGAACAAGCTCAAAACATAGATAAATTATGGTTGGGTTGTGATAGTCTTTAGTTTTGTTTTTAACTTTTTGTTTTGTTGTCTTTTATTAAACTGTTCATTTACTTTAACAATAATTGTTGACATTAGATTTAACAAAATAATATTTGTGACTAATGCGTACTTATCAAGTGCAAGTTGATTTGTATTTCTTCTATCAATGAATATTACAATTACATAGATAGATATTGAAGACCAAATGTGTGTTTTGCTGCCTATAACTCGAATATCCTGTCTCTTATACACATCTAGATGTGTATAAGAGACAGAGTATACACGGAGCTTTATATTAATTGTGGCAGTGGGTGAAAAAAAAAATAGTAATTTTTAAATTTTTACAGCTTGCCAAAAAAATTAATGTTTTAAAATTTCGTTTTTCATTTTAAATAATTGTTAAAGTTACTCCTTACAAATTTATGGGTACATTTATCAAGACACGTTTCTCTGCACAGGAATGGTAGCCTCTGTCCAAAACTTTACCCAAGTAAACCCACAAAAAAAACTTTGAATTCTAGTCAACCCCTACACAAAACAACTTGTTCCTGGTAGACAGATAAAGAACTCAAAAATGAGATCTTTAAATGTTCATTTATAAAATTATGGTTGGGTTCATTTATAAATCTGAAGTAGCTTTTAAATAACAGCTAAAGCTAACAAGCTTGAAACCTGATGCTATAATACATCCATTCAGGAGATGTTAATTTTAGGATATTTGCATTTTCATTAAGCATTGTTCTATGTGAACAAGCTCAAAACATAGATAAATTATGGTTGGGTTGTGATAGTCTTTAGTTTTGTTTTTAACTTTTTGTTTTGTTGTCTTTTATTAAACTGTTCATTTACTTTAACAATAATAGTTGACATTAGATTTAACAAAATAATATTTGTGACTAATGCGTACTTATCAAGTGCAAGTTGATTTGTATTTCTTCTATCAATGAATATTACAATTACATAGATAGATATTGAAGACCAAATGTGTGTTTTGCTGCCTATAACTCGAATATCCCTATCCCTATGATTCGGATTGGAGTTCGCCCTCACTAATCATTACGAAAATAACGGGTAAACGAATATAGGCGTTTTAACGGCTTGAATATATGCTGCCTACAATCAGTTTTAAAGTGGTTATTGTTTAATTCCTATACTTAGGGACTCATAAAGATATTAAAATATTGTCTTATTACAAATTAATATTTGATGGGTTTTAAAAGTTTAAATTTTATTATTTGGTATTTAAGGTCACTGCAGAGAAATTATACTTGAGAACAATGAGATTGCAATAAATTATATTTAATGAAGAACTTTTATTTATGCTGCTATAATTACGTGCCTATTGTTTGTTTTTTTTGTTTTTTTTGTTTTTTTTGTTTTTTAATTCTATGTTGTTAGCGTTATTAAATCTGTATATTTCATAATCTACGACTAACGCTGAAGAAGGACACAGATGTGTGCAAAATGTTTGTCTGAAATAAATTTTATATCTACAATGTCAACGTATGCAATTGTTTTACCTTTGTATCTGTTTTGGTTTACTTGCGAGACATACGTGGAACCAACTACATTGATTTTATTCGGAAGTTATACATTTTACTAATCACTAAAATACGTCACTACGTGACGGATAAGGATTGTCTACATCTAAAGCTAGGCTACGATCTAGGCCTCGGTGACCTCCTGCCTATAAATCCGTTCCTATTCAAGTTTTAGTTTCTTTAGTTTATTAACTGGTAGCTCACACCAACCCTTACCCCTGACAGTTTCCTCTTAGCGAAATATCTCAAAAAATAGATTTTTCCGATTTTCCGAATCACGGCGGTATACAGGAGCCCCCTTTCTCTGTGGACCCGCTCATGCAAATATATGGACCCAACCCAGTACTCACATATACAGGTATAATGAACACTTTCAAAATCCAGTTTAATCTGCATTAAAGTGTCAACATAATTGTGTTCAGTATCGTATCCAATTTGTATCCTGTTTCAATGTTTTCATAGTTTGTGACCCTATTTTGGGTTGCGACTCATAGTTTGAATGCTAGGGCACTAGACCAGTTTAGGTGCGTTTTGACGCAAAAGCCATTTGTCCGGACGCGATTGCGTCGCTCTTTGCGGTGCCGTTCGTTTTAACCGATATAGACTCTCAATGAATTTAAAGAAAATCAATTTTATGTTATTCAGTAATTCCGTTAATGAACTACATGGAGACGTTGTGTTTAATGGTGCTATCATTTCACGGGTTAAATCTATAAAATTTGTTGGGTTTGATAATTGATAAAATTCTCTGCTGGAGCAACCACATTAACAGTTATGTAAAACCATCTCTAGAAAAGCTAGTATTTTATATCGGTTACGTAGGCCTATGTTTCATTTAGAAAGGTGTGGGTGGGTGGGGTGACATTTGATTTGAATTGTTTTGCATTCAATGTCACACGTACAATAAAATGATGAGAAAATATATAAAAATATAAAAGAGTGAAACAATTAATTGAATGCCTGGATGACTCATTTATTCTAGTGATTGTACACCAGACTTATTTCCAGTGGGGTCCAGAAGCCAGGGGAAATTATTGTACAAAAGGGTACTATTTACAGATAGTGTTCAGGCAAGGTTCGGGAAAATAGTTAAATATAAGTAATACGTTAAGCATAAATAATTATATAAAATTTCAAAATTGCTAAATGTTAAAATTTAATTTTTTAAAACCTCTAATAATAAAATAAACATAAAAACAGGAATCCAATAAAATGATAAATGCGAGAAACATTAAAAATTCAGTAAGCAAACATTCCTTTAGTTTTCTCAATTTCGTGGTCAGCAATTTCTTTCAGATAATTAGGTAGAGCACTCAAGTCTCGGATACCAGTAGCAAATGAGGTGTAATTAGCACATTTTGTTTTTGGAACAACAACGTTATATTTCCTTTTTCTGGTGTTGTATTGGTGTTGGTTTGAGATTGGGGGTAACATTTCGGTACATAATGTGGGTATTTGAATTGTTGTAGTAGATATTATGAATAGGATTGAGTTCGAGAAAATTGACACGAAATTTAATATTCAGGTATTCGAGACTGGAAAGCTCCTGTTGACCAATACGAGGCCTTGGGCCAAAATTTAAAACAAATGTGGCAACTTTGTGTTGTGCAGTCTGGCGTCTCAATTTAAAAGTGTTGCTTATGCTACTATACCAATCACAGGCTGAATAGTCAGAAAGGCAAGAAATTAAGGCAGACGTTAAAAGTTTACGAAATTTAAAATTGGGACAGGCTTTCTGTCTGTAAAGAAAATAAAGTCTATAGTTGACTTTTTTGATTATATCATTGGCAATTAAGTTACAGCTAACTGTAATATCGATATTTACCCCGAGATATTAAATATATTATTCCCTTTAACAATTAAACCATTTATCGAAATTTGGAATCAATTGACCATTTTAGTTCAATTTTAGAGGCAAAAATATTAAATTCAGTTTTTTTTACTGTTAATTTCATTTCATTTTATTTAATATCAAAATTGATAATTATTTGTTGTTGATTACGGCAAATACATAAGTTGCATTATCTAGGCCTGCGTAAGTGCTGGTGTCAGTGCTATGTTTAGTGATCGTTGATTGACTCGACTCTGTTGGGCTGAAAACCAGTCTGATGCGGCTTAGGAGTATTTGCAGATTAACAACGTTAACATTTCGAAAAAGATAAAAAAGATAAGACATTTCGTTAACAAGTTACATTTTGTTTACTTAGTAATGATATTTTTTGTTAAGCCTTTTCTCATTTTATCTGTTATCCATAACATTTGAACAAGTGGAAATAAATTGAATTGAATTGAAATAACTGTTTTAATTGAGAGTGATTCCATTAGTGCGGTGACGGTTGCGTTCCGCGGGTGACTCCGCATAACCGCATGCACTTTCTATTTTAATCACTCCATGGAGCGATTCATCCGTTTTGATTTCATCCCGCCGTGCTGTAACTTCACACACTGTCTCTTATACACATCTAGATGTGTATAAGAGACAGGTTCAGGCAAGGTTCGGGAAAATAGTT